ATCTGTGTGTTTTTTAAAAATATATTTTATTGATTTTTTACAGAGAGGAAGGGAGAGGGATAGTTAGAAACATCCATGAGAGAAAAGCATCGATCAGCCGCCTCCTGCACACCCCCTACTGGGGATGTGCCTGCAACCAAGGTACATACCCTTGACTGGAATCGAACCTGGGACCCTTCAGTGCCCAGGTCGAAGCTCTATCCAGTGAGCCAAAATGGCTAGGGCTGTGTTTGTTTTTTTGTAATTTCCGCGGATGGATCCATTGAATCAAATCGAATTACTCCTCAGAGCAAAGTATAAAGGTTCCAGCGGAGGGTTTTCCATTCCCTGTCCTCCTGTGGGTGTGCCGTTCTCAGAGTCTCCTTCACCTGTGTCACCTTAACAGCTGAATCCAGGCTGGATGGGGCTGGTGGTCCCTTCTTTGACCTGTCTGCACGGTCCCAGGGCAGAGCTTGAGCAAGGCCTGGGGCATGAACTTAAGAACAGGAGACAGCCATAGCTGGTTTGGCTTAGTGGGTAGAGTGTAGGCCTGCGGACTGAAGGATCCAGGGTTCGATTCTGATCAAGGGAACATGCCCAGGTTGCGGGCTTGATCCCCAGTAAGGGGCATGCAGGAGGCAGCCAATCAATGATTCTCTCTTGTCATTGATGTGTTTCTCTCTCTCTCTCTCTCCCCCTCTCTCCCTTCCTCTCTGAAATCAATAAAAATATATTTTAAAAAAAGTAAAAGAACAGGAGACGGAGTCTCCAGCTGCAAGGCTGTGCCAGGAAAGGAGAGTGGTGGGTAGGGAGGGCACCCAGTGACAGAATCGGGTTCCCAGGGGCAGCCGAGATGAAGCCGTGCGAGGGAGCCATGGAAGAGTCCAAATACCATCACAGCTCTCAAGGGGTATGGGGTGTAAAATAAATGGCAGGGAACCCCAGTGAGAGCCATACCTGCTATCCATGGTTTACAGGATGGGCCCACCCCACGCCTACTCTGAGGACACTGACCATGATGGGGCTGGTGGGGGTGTGGAGGCCACAGAACCCCAAGGCTGAGTGACTACAATCCTCAGCTCCTCTGTGCCAGGAGGCTTGTCTTTGCTCACCTCCCCCAGGTGGGTGGACAGTTACCTCTTGTGCACACAAAAGGGAACTACCAGTGAGCGGGAGGGGGACTCAGCTCCAACGAAGAAACTGTGTCCACCTCCTGGTCAAGTACATCCCAACCCCACCCCAACCTGCCCCAGTCCAGCCCTCCCATTCCCCAGGTGCGCAGGGACTTTCCTTCACACAGCGTCCAGTGGGCCCTGCTGACCTCAGGCACTGGCAGGTGTGAGAGTCAAGGCCGGTGGCAGGGACAACGCACCCCTAACCCAGGAGGGAAAGCTGAGGTCCATGCAGGTAGTGGGGTTCCAGGAGCACAGTGAGGAATGGGGGTACCTGGCGCCCGTCCCCTCTCCTCTGGCGGGAGAGGCTGTGCCAGGCATTACCCACCTGCTTTAGACACTGACCAGGCTCCTACCTTCCTCCCTGTGACTTTGGGTGACATTCAGTCACACTCCCTGTGGGGCTGCGGGTCCAGAGGCTGGGTGGGCCGCGGGAGGCCACAGATGGCAGTAACGGGCCCTGGGTGTGTGTGTCCAATTCCGTGCTTCTGGGAGGCAAATGAAGGTGAGACAGACAGACAGACAGACAGACACTCACACTCACACACACACTGCTCCTCGGAGCAGTACACACCGGGCACCGCTCTGTGCTGTGACACCCGCTTGGGCTCGGGCTCTGGCGCTGCCAGAGTGAAGTCGATGAGGCCGCGCCCGCCCCGAGGGGGGGGGGGGGGGTGGGCGCCCCCCCGCCGGTCCAGGGTCCGCTCCGGATTTGGGTCAAAAACCGCGCTCCACGCCCCTCCGTTCTTTCCGGCGACGGCCCGTCACCCCTCCCCTTCCCCTCGCCGCGGCGGGGGCGGGGGGTGCAAGAG